ACTGCAATGTGTTTACTTTTATTTCTGTCATCTCGGTTTCCTTTCTGTGGACTTTCATAGAGCGCCGCGCCACACAAATAGCCTGTGAACCAAACTCAGCAGCATATCTCTCAGTATTTTCCTTTCGTTTTGTTAATCTGTTAATTAGGCTATTTAAGTCAAATATTTTGCATATTCATTCATTTTACATATAGAATATGATTTAATAAAAACTGATTTTGTTATTTTTAGTTAAACTTAAGTTTTGTTGCTTGTCTGTGCTCGTCCGCCGCCTTTTTCTCTTCTCCGACCCCGCAGCTCTCTCCGATAGCTTAGTGTTAGGGGCACCAGTCCAAGTGTTTCCAGGTTTTACTCGTGCTATTTCTCCATGTTGAGAATTTGGTGTCGCACATATTGCTAAGCATTCTTATCCTTTTCTCTGATAAACTGAAAATAGCAGGAGTGTGTCCATCCCACAAATGTAGAATCCGTCTCTGCAGTCATCTCAACCATCTAATTCCAGCAACAGAAGATAGACAAACTATTTTACCCATGGAATTGTTTCTCTGGTGCTGTTTTGCAGTGTTGGTAAATTCACCACTTAATTTAGAGTTAAAATATGTTGTTGTAACTTGCGTTACTGAGATTGTAACAAGTAATATTACCCAAATTTTATTAGTAATGCGTTATATTACGGCGTTACAGCAAAACGTAATATACTACTGTAATATTATTACTTTTGTAATGCGTTACTCCCAACACTGTTTAAGACCACCAAAATGCTATGTGCTAACTGCTAGTCTTCAATGCTAATAGCTCTGCCTAGGCTTCAATGCAAACTCGTTAGCTTTGCTCATGCTTGGCTATTTGTTTACAAACAGCTCAAACATGGCGCTGGTGGACTCCGCTTGCGCACTTAAAAGTTACCCCGGAAAAGGGTTTCTTAGAACTTCCGGGCTATGGCTGTTGCTATGGCAACGTACCCTACAATAACTAGCATGTGCTTACACACAGTTGATGGTTATACACAGTTTATGCCCTTCATGTGAAATGGTGGCGCCTTTCACACTGAACAACCAAAAAGCACTATAGACTCTTATCTTATAACGCTGACCACTCACTCGACTCATTCGAGTGAGGTAAATTAATATACAGATTTACTGCAATTAATTCAAAATGACATTATTGCAGATCTCGGCGGATCTAAGCACTTAGTCTATTTATACAGACAAAAATACACATGGATTTGACCACAATTCTTACTTGATCAAGATTTCACAATTCTCCCAAAAATAAATAGCGTTCAGATACTCTCTGAGCACCGCGTTTTCAAGTTCACCAGTTTTAGCGAATAAGTGGCAGAGGACTATCAGTTAGCTAATCTGATATTCTTGAACCAGGGAGATGAATAGCATAGTTGAATTTAGAAGTGGAACACGCACTATACAAATCAAGCTATGAAGGCCTTTTAAGAAAGAAGAAAAACAAGGAACTTCTCTCTTCATGCGCTTTAGAGCGACTTAGTTTTTGTCTCGACAGACCAAATTTAATGTTTTACTGCAGTTCAACTTTAAACATCAACTCAAGTTTCACTTCATTCATTCAACACACTGGTATACCACAATAAAATATCCAGTAACACAGCGACTCTGTTTCTCTGTATCTAATCTATTTTCCGGATAAAAATAGAGAAAATTCACTATAATATCTTGGTGTCATTAATTTTTTTTAAGCCAAATCTTTGCCTGCATTCTCCACCATATGTAAGAAATTAACTCATTTATAAGGGAATTAATTATTATTTTTATTTCTAGCTCAGGTTTTGAGAGGAATCGAATCTGAAAATTCGAGGTCAACCTAATTAGAACTGATTTCAAATTTGATAGTTTACACTTTATCAGCTACTCGTCCAGTGAGACGTTA